GACAGTGTGGAAAAGAGTCCCAAATCCCAATTTTTTTAAGGGCCGTTGTAACTTCGAACGGTCGTTAAATGAACGGTTGTAAGTCAGTAACTACTTGCACCCCCAGTTCTTCCTCTAAAATATTCTGATTTTTAAAATTCTGGCTGGCAGCTCAAAATGGATTTCTCTGCATTCTCAGAGGCCAAGCAAAACCAAACCCTTATTTTCTTATTTAATAATTGAACAAGATGCATTAAATTTCAAGCCACTGGCCCCTGGTTTTATTTTTTTTTATCTTTTGGGGTGGCTGTTTCAATTTTCCTTTCAGCCTTCTAAGAAACAATACATATATTATTTCTGTCGTGAGGAAGATAAAGCAGAACGGATCGTGAAACGGATCCTTTTTTTATTCAAGGGGGGAGAATATATTTAAAAAGTTATCTTTCTTCGTGTGGGTGTCACTTCTGGATGTTGGGCTTGTGATGAAAATAAAAACGTGAAACTTTTGACTTGGGTTTTGTGGATGGGACGGATTTGTCGTCGTAGAAATGGCTGGTGGTATATACTACAGGTAGCAACTCCTGACGGACTTGGCAACACTTTACAATCTGACTTCAGCTTTCCCCGCGGCTTTGTAGACCTGGGAGGGTCCTCGATGCGAAGATCGGGCGTTCGGTTGCTGAACGAGGCGGTTGCTAAGTGTATAAGGTGTAAAAAGAAGTATACTACAGGTAGCAACTACTGAAGGACTTGGCAACACTTTACAATCTGACTTCAACTTTCCCCGCGGCTTTGTAGACCTGGGAGGGTCCTCAATGTGAAGATCGGGCGTTCGGTTGCTGAACGAGGCGGTTGCTAAATGTATAATGTGTAAAAAGAAGTATACTACAGGTAGCAACTCCTGACGGACTTGGCAACGCTCGTTGTAGAGCAATGGCTACATACCACCACAACCGCGCTTTACAATCTGACCTCAGCTCTCCCGGTGGCTCTATAGACATCGGGCACTCGGTTGCTGAACGAGGCAGTCGCTAAGCGAGGACTACCTGTATAATGTGTATATAAAAAAAAAAGAAGCAAAAAAGTTGAGGCTGGAATGTTTTTTTTTTTTTAATCTCGTACGGTGCTAAAAAAAATAGTTCTTAGATAGTTTTACAACAGTAAAAAAGCATAAAATAACCAGGGAAGAAAATTCAAGGGGTTGCCAAAGGGCATCTATACATGACAGTTGCAGCATCCTGGTGTGTGTGTGTGTGTGTGTGTTTGTACTTCTCTTTGTGTTTGATAGAGAGAGATAAAATTTGAATTTGAATTCTTTATCGTCCTGGTACGTATAAAAAACAACACTAGAACAGCATAAAATAACCAGGGAAGAAAATTCAAGGGGTTGCCAAAGGGCATCTATACATAACAGTTGCAGCATCCTGGTGTGTGTGTGTATGTGTGTGTGTGTTTGTACTTCTCTTTGTGTTTGATAGAGATAAAATTTAAATTGGAATTCTTTATCGTCCTGATACGTATAAAAAACAACACTAGAACAGCATAAAATAACCAGGGAAGAAAATTCAAGGGGTTGCCAAAGGGCATCTATACATGACAGTTGCAGCATCCTGGGGTATGTGTGTGTGTGTGTGAGAGAGAGAGAGAGGGAGACAGACAGACAGACAGATCATCACGTGTGATTTTTTTTTCCCAGCCAAGCCAAATCCAGGAGAAAAACAAAAAAAAATTTCCGATCCGCTTAACGACCGGGGATTCGTTATAACAACCGCAGGGGTGATTTTTTTTTTTTGGCTCACCCCGTGGCGAGGAAAAAGGCACAGAAAACTGGCACAACTCAAACCTAAAACCACATTTGGGAAGGCACCTCGCCGAGACGCAGGGCAGCTCGGCTCCCAAATATCGTGCCCGTTTTTAAGTCGGGGGACTTAGCACTGCGGTCGTAAACCGAGGACACCCCGCCCCCCCGCCCCCGCCCGGGACGCCAGGCAAAAGGACTTTTTTGCATTTCGCAAAGCCTCCCTCCGCGTTGAGAGCCAACTGCAAAGGGCAAAGCACCCCGAAATAGTCCCCGTGCAACGGGAAGGGGGGGCATCCCCAGGTTGCAAGCGCCCTCTGGGTCAGCACGGAGCCCCCCCCTCCTTTTCCAAAGCCCTCCCCCTCCCGCCAGCCCTACGCCAGCCAGCCTCCCAGCGCAAGGCCCACCCCGGGCCGCCTGTTGCCACCTGTCAGTGGTGAGGATTAATTACCCGGTGAGTGCTGGGCGCGGCACATTCCTCCCCAGGGCCGCGCCCAGCGGAGAGATGCTGACATCAGGCCTGCTGCATGTGTGTGTGTGTGTGTGTTTGTGTGTGTGTGTGTGTGCGCCCCTCTATCCGAGTCACCGCAGAGGCGGGGACGGGACGGGGGGGGGGGGGAAGCAAAGCCCAAAAACAGCCAGGAAAGGGGAAAACGTTTGGTGAGAGCCAACGGGGGAAGGTTGGGCCAAGGGTTGGCACGGAGTTTGGGCGGGGTGTGTGTGTGTGTGTGGTTGGGAGCGGATAGATGCTCTTGAGCCAACTCTTTTGCACCCCCCCCTCCCCAAAAACCATGTTGCATCTGCCTGGAAGGGTTTTTTTTTTGGTTTTTTTTGGTCTGGCCCGGTTGGGTACTCTTGAGAGCAGCTACTGGGTTGCATGGAGGCTCTTCGCTACTCCGAGTAGAACCCGAGAGAATTAAGGAGCTGAAGTAAACGGTGGAGTGCCGGGGGACTTCTCCGGGATGGGTGGATTGCTTGCAGGGGTTTCACGGCCCAACTAGGGAACATCGGCGGGAATGGGGGGGAAGGAGGAGGAGGAGGAGGAGGAGGAGGACTACGGGGTTCTTGGTGCTTCCCGAACTCGGTGCTGTTTTTGCAGACGTTTAATGACCCAACTAGGGCACATCATCAACACAACACAACGCAACACAACCAGAGGGCTCAGCCAGTCTCCTGCAAAGCCGGCAGCAAACAAGGCCCATCCAAGAATTGTGAGTCAAGGGCAACACAATCCAACCAGAATTGTGGCTGTGTTGTGTCCAAGAATTGTGAGTCAAGTGCAACACAACACAATGCAACACAACCAGAAAGCTCAGCCAGTCTCCTGCAAAGCTGGCAGCAGGCTCCGAATGAGGCCCATCCGAGAATTGTGAGTCAAGGGCAACACAACCCAACCAGAATTGTGGTTGTGTTGCATTCAAGAATTGTGAGTCAAGCGCGACACAACACAACCCTTCGATTTGAAGCTCCCTGCCGGCTCCCTCCTGGATCCAATGCCTGCACCTCGACCCCTCATCCCAAAAGCCACAAATGCATACAGCTAGTCCTCAGCTTACAATGGTTCATTTAGTGACCCGTTCCAAGTTACAACGAACCCTGGAAAGAAGCAACTTAGGATCGCCTTTTTTTCACACTTACGACCGTTGCAGCATCCCCCGCAGTCATGGAATCAAACTTCGGACACTTGGTGACCGACTCACACTTACAACGGGGTCACGCATTTCCCTTTTTGCGACCTTGTGATGAGCAAGGGGGGGTGGGAAGCCCTATTCGCTTCACAACCGCGCTCCTCGCTTAACAACTGCACCAATTCACTTAACGGCCGTGGCAGGAAAGGTCGCAAAATGAGGCAAAAGTCACTGAGCCCGTCTTGCTTACCAACGGAAATCTGGGGCTCTGTTACGGTCTTTAAGTCGAGGACTTTGTGTTCCGAGTTATGACAGATGGCAAAAACCTTCTTATAACCAGGATTCAGGGTTCCAACATTTGTCTGGAATGGTCTACGGTCTCCTGCTTGAGCTGGAAGTTGGACTAGATGACCTCCAAGGGTCCCTTCTGACTCTGCTATTCCTTCTTGCTTCCTAGCTCTCACTCTTTCTTTCTCTAGATTCCTTCCCTCCTTCTTGTTCTTTTTTTAAAAAGGGTTTTAAGAAGACACAGCCACTTTTGTCAGGAATGATCTAGGGTCTCTCCTGCTAGAGCAAGGGGGGTTGGACTAGATGACCTCCAAGGGTCCCTTCCGACTCCGCTATTCTGTTCTGTTCTGATGCTGGCTGAGATGGCGGCCAGTGGCTACCTGTGTCCCTTGTTAACGGGACGTTGTAACGATTAAAACCCATTTCTTTCTTTTTGCAAACTGCACGGAGAGAAAGCGGAGCTACTCAAGACAAAATAAGGATTCACTGCCAAGTGAAAAGGGGAATTGTACTGTGAGGGATTAATTCTGTCCCACAAATAAAATAATATATATATATATATTTTTAAAGAGAGCCAAGGCCCTCCTTCCATTCAATTTGAATTGGAGGTGAGATTGCGTAACTAAATTCCAGAGGCAATATACAGCGTATATATGTGTGTGTGTGTATACATATATATATATATATACATACATACATACATACATATATATATATATTTTCTGAGGTTCTCGTGGGAAGATTGGAAGTATCTAGGCAACCTTTCGATGAAGTCTCATTCATCATCTTCAGGCTTGTGTCTTCGGCTCTGTGCTTCTCAGAGTATTTACATATATAGAGTATTTAGATATATTTACATATACTTACACACACATATATATATATGGCATTCAGCTTTGTTCAGGTATTTTCCCACGTCATTGTAGTTGTGCTGTTAAAGTTGTAGCAATGTTTCGGCAGAATCTCATCTGCCATCATCAGGCTTCTGTGTGTATATATATATATATATGTATAGGACTTGCTTCTGATAAGAAGAGAGTATCTGTAACTCAGGGTTGACATGAAGGGTCCTTGGTGGTCTCTGAGCTGGGTCGTTTTCCTGGCAGACGTTTCATGACCCAACTAGGTGACATCGTCAGTACAAGAAGGGAGAGGGGTTTGTTGAGAAGGAGGAGGAGGAGGAGGAGGAGGAGGAGGAGGAAAATAATGACTGTGGGGTCCTTGGTGCTCTCTAAGCTTGGTGGTTTTCTTGCAGATGTTTCATGGCCCAACTAGGTAGCATCATCAATGCTACAAGGCAGTGGGGCTTGCGAAAAGGAGGAGGAAGAGGAGGAGGAGGAAGAGGAGGAGGAGGAATAATCATAATAATTGTGGGGTCCTTGAGGCTCAGAGAACACCAAGGACCTCACAATTGTCTCCTTCCTCTTCCTTCTCTTCCTTTTCACAACCTCCTCCTCCTCCTAACACTGATGCTTGTTACCCAGTGGGGTCATGAAACGTCTGCCAGAAAACCACCCAGCTCAGAGACCACCAAGGACCCCACAGTCCTCCTTCTCTTCCTCCTCCTCCTCCTCCCTCCTCTTCCCCTCCGGCCCTGATGATGCTGCCTAGCCTGGTCGTGAGACGTCTGGCATAAAACCACCCGCTTCCAAGAGGGCCAAGCGCCCCCCCCCTGGACCTCTGTTTCCCCCGCCATGCCAGCTTGTGAGGGGAGGCATTTCTGGACGACCAAGTCTACCCCTTATAAGAGACTTTGGGGGCCTTGTGGGGACCCCCCTCCTGCTGCCTTCGGGGCCAAACCCAACCTGGAATCCCAGCTTGTCCCGCCCACCTCCTGTTTAGAAGACCCCGGCGTTTCGAACCCAGCACCCGGCGCGCAAGGGCCCCTCCCCGCTTTGCCCATCTAGAAGGGCCTCCTCCTCCTCCTCCTCCCTTCTCTCTTCCAGCCCGTAAATTTTCCCCCCCTGGAGACTTCAAAGACATTAAATTCTTCCTCAAGTTCCCCCCCGCCACACACACACATTCTCCCTCCCCCTTTAAGCCCGGAGGAAGGGCCACGTCAACCTCCAATCCTCCCCCCCCCCGTCCCCTCCGCCCTTCCCCATTTCCTCACCAGCCCTGCGGGCTCCACCGGGCAAGGCAAGTCCCAACGCAGCTCCACGCGGCTTCCAAGCCCTCAGCGCCTCTGGTCTTGTCTTGGTACATAGTTGTGCAAGTACCTTCATGTCCCCCCCCCCCCCCCCCACACACACACACACGCACACACACACACATACACACCAGAACCCCCCCCAGCCCTTCCTCTTCCTCCTCCTCCTGCCCCACCTTGGCCCAATCCATCTGCCTGGTATTACATGCCAGGAAACCTTCAGCCTAAGTGCTCCAGCAGCGGGCTGGACTAGAAGATCTCCAAGGATCCCTTCCAGCTCGTAGGCAACAGCCAATCCCTGCGGAGTTTGATCCAGCTGCAAAGGCGCCGGGTCAGCCGAGACAGAATCACACATTTGTTGATCTGCAACGCATGGAGGTCACTCCCAGGGGCTCCGTTTCCTCGCACTGCGTCGGCAGGCCGTCCTCGAAGTACGACCATGATGGAGCCCGAAAGCTCTGTCGCTAAGCGAGGCAAGGCGTTGAGTTTTTACCCCCCCCTCATGTCACGACTCCTCCGGGCGCCGCCGTTAGGTGGATCGCTGCGGTCGTTACATTAGTTACACGGTCATTAAAGGAGTCAGGCTTCCCCCTTGAATTTTTGCCTGCCAGGTGGTCGTAAATAAAACAACCGTGTGATTCCCCAGGACGCTGCGACCGTTGTAAATACGAGTCCGTTGCCAAGCGTTTGAATTTGGCAACGGTCGTTCAGCGTGAAAACAGTCCTAAGTCACTTTTTTTTCCAGTTCCGTTCCAACTTCAAATGGTCACTACCTCCAGGCGGTCCTCGACTTACGACAGTTCGCTTAGTGACCGAAGTTCCAACGGCGCAGAGAAAAAAGCAACTTAGGATCATTTTTCACACAGGACAGTTGCCACCTCCTTGTGATCACGCGCCTCAAAATGGAGACCCTTGGCACGACCGACTCGCATTTACGACGGCCACAGTGTCCTGGGGCGGGGGGGAGAGCGCAGGGCGGGGGAAGGTCAGGCAACCGATCCCCTTTTGCAACCGTCTTGACCAGCAAAAGCCGAACGGGGAAGCTGGATTCGCTGAATGACCGTGTTAGCAGCTTCACCAAGGGCAGCAGGGGTTCACCCTTAGCAACGGTGGCAAGGAAGGTCGTAGAGTGGGGCGACGCTCATTTGTCAAAAACGCTGTCACCAACCGACGGGACGCGTTGCGCTTCATTCTGGTCGTGAAGTGGAGGACCATCTGCAAATCCGCCGCCTTGGCTGTGCCGTCGCTCACCACATCCTCGGGTCATTAAGCGAGGCGCCTTCTTCCCAGGTCCCCTGCCTCCTGCCCGCCCTCCCAAAATTATTTCCTCCCCGGCTCCCAGAGGGGGGTAAAACCCCAGTCCCCTATTTTGCAAAAAGGGCCGGTTGGTTTCCCCACACACACCCATGATTAGCTAAATCTTCACATCGGATTGCTGCACAAAGAGGTATAAATCACTCAAAACACACACAAACACACACACACAACCACACCCACGGATTGCAAAGAGCCACACCTCTTCCTTGCAAGCCCTGGAAAAACAAAACCAGGGCTTTGCAAAAGGGCCGCCATTTTTTTCTGGCAAACATGGCGCAGCTACACACACACACACAGACACAACACACACAGACTAGCAGTTGTGTGGCCCAACTGGACGGGCTGGCCAAGTTTCCAAGCGGGCGACACCGTTTCGCCCCTGGCGGCGCAGCAAAGGGGTTCTATATCGGATAAGGGGAAGGGGCTTATTTTTGGGGGGGGGGGGGGAAGAGGAAGGGGCTAAAAGGCGAACAAGGTGTTATTTGTGGGGCGGTTTAGGGCTCTCTCGGTCGGGGTGGGTTTCCCGGCAGATGTTTCGCGACCAAACTATGTAACATCATCAGCGCTAGAAGGAAGTGGGGTGTGAGGAGGAGGAGGAAGAGGGAAAAGGTCTGTGGAGGGGGGGCTGGGAGGCTCTCGGAGCTGGGTGGTTTTCTTGCAGACGTTTCAGGACCCTACTAGGCGACATTGTCAGTACAAGAAGGGAGAAGGGTTTGTTGAGAAGAAGAAGAAGGAGGAGGAGGAGGGCGAGGAGGAGGAGGAGGACGAGGAGGAGGAGGAGGAGGAAGGAAGGAAGGAAGGAAGGAAGAAAGGAAGGAAGGAAGGAAGGAGGAGGAAGGAAGAAGGAGGAGGGAGGAGGAGGGAGGGAGGAGGAGGAAGAGGAGGAGGAGGAAGAGGAGGAGGAGGAG